TAATTTAAATATTACTATTAATTATTATATTTTTATGTCTCTTAAACTTCTAAGAGTTCCTTAAGTTTTTAGGGGAAGACATTTTTAGTTAGTCACCACTAATTATATATAGAATATCAAATTTCATTTATCTTGAATATAACTATATGAGTATATATACTCTTTATAAGTCATTAATTTATTCGATGTGGGACTTTAATTATGAGTTACAATTAGATATAAGAGAAATATACTTTTTTTTGACTCGATGTGAGACTTTGATTTTAGAAGCAATTATAGTAACATTTTTCAAAAAAATGTTGCAAAATAACTTATGAAATTTTTTTTTACTCGATATGGGACTTTGATTTTGAAAATAATTAGAAAGAATAATATTAAAATAAAAAATGTTACCCTATCTATAATGACATTTTTCAAAAAAGTGTTACAAAATAACATTTATTTAATATATAGTAACATTTTAATAAATATAAACAAGAAAATATTGCTAAAAGATTAAAATCTAGTAGTGAAATTTGCTCAAACTGTTTTCAATGTAAAACCATCACTGGTGGGATGTTTGGGTTGGTTGTCTAACTTGGTGTGGCGCGAATTCGGCTTTACATAATAAAGTTGAGAGAACAGTTTCTTCAATTTAGGAATCTCATTTCATGCAATTTGAAAAAGTCATTTCATACATGGGTGTTATGGAGGAATGTAAATGGAAAAATATTTCGAAGGAGGTGTAAGTCGTCTTCTAAATTGCTGGAATCTATAAAAATTGTATCGTGGCCAAGGACGGAGCCAAGGGGGGACCTACGGGTGCCACGGCCCCCCCAACAATTTTAATTTTTTTTTATATACATATATATTACTATATGGCACCCCCTATTTTTAATATAAACTCATATGTATAATTAAATGAATAACCCAAATTTATTTTTTTATTCAACTTTTGGACTTCTGGTACGGCCTGCTATGTGGTATCACTTTGGAATTTTTTTTTTATAAAAAAATGTAGCGCCTCATTTGATCATTCCAATTCTTGCACGTTCATGCTTTTTTTCAAAACTTGAGTAGGATTGTTAATGTTGTGTGTTCTTCTTGCAAACGCAATGATGAGTTACATGATGCTTATGAGACTGAAATTGCACGTTTGGTTGCAAATGATGAGATTGAAACTGGGAGGGGAGCTAATCAAATTGGCACACTACAAAGACCTGGAGATACTAGATGGAGTTCTCATTTCAATTCAATATGTAGCCTTCTACGCATGTTTAATGCAACTACTTCAGTTCTTGAAGATTTGGTGGTTAATGGAACTGGCTCTCAACGAGGTGATGCTACTTATGCTTTCAGAGTATTGATGTCTTTTGAATTTGTTTTCATTTTACATGTTATGAAAGAAATTATGGGAATCACAGACAAGCTTTGTCAAGCTTTGCAGCAAAAGAATCAAGACATTGTGAATGCTATGTGTTTGGTTTCTAGCACAAAGTCACTAATTCAAAAGTTAAGGGATTTTGGTTGGGATTCTCTTTTAGAAAATGTTAACTCTTTTTGCAATAGCCGAGGTGTACCAATTCCTGATATGAGTGCTACTTACTCTGACATAATTCGAACTCGGCTTAAAAAGGATTCTGTGACAGTTGAGCATCATTATCGTGTAGATATATTTACTGCAGCGATAGATTATCAATTGAAAGAATTGAATAGTAGATTCAGCGAGCAATCAACTGAACTTCTTATGTTGAGTGTAGCTTTGGATCCTAAAGATGCATTCAAATCATTTAATGCTTGTGATATTTGTAGTCTAGCTAAGAAATTTTACTCTTCAGATTTTTCTGACCAAGAAATGATTCATATGGAATATGAATTGCAACATTATGAGTTTGATGTGCCAAAGGATCCCAAATTTCATAATTTGTCAACTCTTGGTGAATTATGTCAAAAACTAGTAGAGGTTGGCAAATCAAATGTTTATCCTTTAATTGATCGATTGATACGACTTGTTCTTACTCTGCCCGTGTCAACAGCAACTACAGAACGTGCTTTTTCAGCTATGAAGATTATAAAAACAAGTTTGCGCAACAAGATGGAAGATGGTTTTCTTACTGACTACATGATTGTTTATATTGAGAAGGAGATTGCACGAAGATTTACAACTGATATGATAATTGATGATTTTTACTTCATGAAACAACGACGGGCACAACTTAAGAAATAAAGGTACATACTTGAATAACTTGATCTTGCAATATGTTCGATATATTTATCAAATGTAAATATGAGAAATAATTTTTATTAAATTATGTTAATTATTATCTAGTTTTGTCAGATAATATGCTTTTGATACTTTAATTTTCATTTATTATAAATTATATATTATTTATTCTCGGCCCCCCAGTATTGAAATCCTGGCTCCGTCCCTGATCGTGGCAGTGGCTTAAAGCAAAGTCCAACTTTAGCTATTTATTCTCTACTTGGACAAATTAAACACTGGCATGCTTGGGCTAATTGGAACACTTGTTGCAGCATGACTTCCAACCGTGCGTATACTGTATGAGATGTAGGGATGGCAACGGGGTGGGGCAGGTACGGGTTTTATGATACCCGTCCCCGTTCCTGTGAGTCAAATTCATCCCCGTCCCCGTCTTCGTACCCGCCGGGTATGTGGTTTTCATCTTCATCCTCGTCCCCGTCGGGTATCGGGTATACCCGTACCCGTACCCATACCCGTCAATTTTTTATTTTTTATTTTTTGTAAAAAAAATAATATTTTTAAATTATTTTTTTTATTATATTATAATTATAATTAAGTTATTTTTCTATCTCATATTATAATAAATAATCACACATAAAAAATATTAAATTTTTTTTAATATAATTAAATTAAAAGTGAGTATTAAATTAAAAATGAAAACAGGGACGGGTACGGGTACGTGTACGGGTACGGGGCGGGTAAGTACATACCCGTACCCGTACCCGATTTAATATATCGGGTTTTACCCGTACCCGGTCAAACCGGGTATTCCCCGTCAAAGTCGGGACGGGTTCGGGTATTACCTGCGGGTACGGGTATATTTGCCATCCCTATTGAGATGTAGATTCTGGTTGGTTCCCTTGGTGATGCACACATGCTCTATTTCTATGATATGTGAGAATACATGTTTAAGGATGGGGTTGTTTATTTATAAACATCCATGTTATGAGCAGTTAGCCATATATTGTGAATTTTTTATTTTTATTTTTTTTACTTTTATATTGATAAAAAAAAATATTTATCAACTTCATCAAAAATTAATCTTTCTCGAAATCTTAACTGCATGAAAGCTATTTCTTCTAATGTCATTTTTATTTATTTATTTATCAAATTCAAGACTTTAAAACTTGAAGATCAACTTAAATGTTAATTGAGTCAACAAACATTGATTTTCTAGTTTTATTTAATAAAATTGCCCTAATCTTATATATATATATATATATATATATATATATATATATAAAGTTAGGATTTGGGTGTACTTAACGGTTAATTGAATTAACCATTAAATGGTCATTTATTAGTAAAAGAATTAATTCTACATTTTGATCCTTTTATTTGATCTCCATGATATTGGTAAGCAACAAGTTCTTTGCTTCTTCTTTTTTTTTTTTGTGTACGCCAACATTAACACAAGAAATAAAAATTTGATTCCATCATGCAGGTGATAAAGGCTTTGAATATATGACTGAGCAGGTGCACGAGACATTAAATGGATGGAATATAAATGATATCTCTTCTATATTTGGGTGAATAATTAAAGAGTCTCAGGTATGTTATTTTTAAGTGCATTAATTTAGTGTAGAGTATAGATGCCCAGACTTAGACTTCTCAAAGGGACTTATAATATGCCACTAAGGATGATTAAGATGTAACACAACTTCTGAAAGATGTAAAAGGATGTGCCATAGTAGATGTATATGTTGAGCATTTAATAGATACACGGCAATTATGTTTGAATGAAGTTAAATTCAAGTGGCACGAATTTTAAGATTAATGTAGGAAAATTTGGAGATGTGGAGGCCAAGGATGGTGGGTTTGAACACTATGATTTACAATATTTTGAATACATAGTAGATGACTATAAAGATGGTGAATTTCAATCTAAAGATGTTGAATGTGAGGCTAACACACAGGTGAGGATGAACATGTGATGAAAATTGGATGGAGCAGTGTCTTGTTAAATGATACAGTTGCTCTAGGAGGCATTGATTCTAAACTTACTGCAACTGATGACTTTGTGAATAAGGATGGTGTTTCAGAAGATTTGGATAGTCCATTTAAAACTGGTGAAGATGAGGAAGTGGAGTAGAAATATCCTAAATTCAAAATGTTAGAGGATGATAACTTAGTGCACTTTGATTTGCGTCAAATTTTCACGTCACAATTATATTGAGGGCAACTATGAAGGCGCACGTTATGCAACAAAAGTAAAATGTTTACTTGACAAAAAGTGACAAAGAAAAGGTAAGTATAGTGAAATGCATGACAGGTTGCGCTTAATTATCTTATTTATAGCTAGCAAATCATCACATAAAAGATATTATCAAGTAGTTTACTTAGATGACACCCGAGTTGTCACCGAACAAAGAAAAATAGGCAAGCCAAAACCAGATGGCATGCTAAGAAGTTCATGAGCAAATTGAGACACACATCACACAAGAAGCTTAAGACTAGATTCCAAGCAAAAGATAATTTGAGTGTGATTTTGACTAGATTCCAAGCATATAGGGCTAAAAGGATGAAAATATAAATGATACAAAGAGTTGTTTCAAACGAATCAAACCAATATAAAAACTTAAGAGTTATGGGGAAGAATTGATGAAATGTAATCCTAATAGCACTATGGAGATAAAGAGAGTATGGGAAACATTTGTCTGGTGTTTTAGAGGATGTATGGAGATGAAGAGTTATGCATGCAAGGTGTAACACCATTAATTGTATAATGTATTTATATATCTAACTCATTCTATTTTGTTGAAATTAATTTTTAAATTTTTATATATAAAAGAAAATTAAATGAAAAAAAATAATGAGAATAAAAAGATACAAAACTACACACATATATATTTATACATTTTTTTTAACTTGATATAGACATAGTCTCTCTACTATCTAGATAAAAAAAAAATATATTTTATTTATGTACATAATTCTTCTTAACAAACAACTCGTTATCTTCATTTGCCCTGTACAAACATAAAAACAAATGGATTCACGTGATTAGTGGGAGGAAGGAAAAAAGTGATTATCATAGAACTTCATAGGATGAAAGGTTCTTGTCTTTGAAGAAAAAATATGATATTCCTTAACACTAAAGGTCATTACATTGTTGATGGTATCTAAATTCCTAGTAGTTCTACGAAAAACATTTTTGAATTTCTACTATAAAAGGTCCTAACATATTCGTCGTCTCCATTTATTTAAAATTTCTTTGTATTTTATTTCAAATAAAAAAACAATAAAACACAAATGAGTAAGAACAACTATCATTAAGTTAATAAAATAAATAAATATATATAACCATACCACCATACATCAATCTATGATGCATCATTTTAATATATTATACATTTTCATATTTTACTTGATTCAATTTTTTTAATCTTACTCTATAAAGAGATTTTAAACAAAGATTTATAATAACTAATTGGGATAAAAGAGTTTAACCATCATCAAAATAATACAAGGATCACTCACTTGATTAAATATATAGTATTCATTTAAATCTTCGAGATCAAAACTTCATCTATAAACTTATGTCTTATACATGAATTTAAATCTTTATTACTCATAACATGTTCATATAACTAATTAATACTAATAACAATGACTTGCTCATCTTAATAAAAGTATGAATAACATATAAAAATTATTACTATAATTATTTTTAATAATAATAATAATTATTATTATTATTATTATTAAAGACATAATTAACATATAAATACGTAATTTTTTTTATAATCTTAAATGTATAAGCAACCATTAAAATCAATATAATATCATTTAAGAAATAATCTTGATTAGATTGACATTATTTTATTTGTAAGTAAAATTTTAATAAGGTATTTATAGACAAGAATAGACGTATTAAAATAAATTAAAAATATACAAACATAAGAAAATAAAAGCGGTTAAATAATAAATAGTATATAATAATATATATTTTAAAAGATATAATATATGTCTCTTTCCGTAGAAGCCGCTTCTTTTCTTTTTCTTATGATAATTTAATGAGCATTGCTATATAAAATAATTATTTAATTTAATATTTTATTATTTAAATCAACTTTTTAATAATTCGGAACAAGTTTGAGAATAATTTTTGGAAGATGCAGCATTTTTCTAATTTAACTGATATAATAAAATACACTCTCTCTCTTTCTTTGAGTGAGTAAAAATAAACCGACTAGAATGGCGTAAGAAGAATAGTTTGAGAGAGATGTGCGTAGACCACTAATTTCAAAAGGTTTCCTTACTGTAATCTTTTTTCTCTTTAGATTCACCCTATTCGATCACTACCTATACTTTGTTGATCGATGGGCATGTGATTCATTAAAATCCTTATCTTTTATTTTTCACGCTGTACATTAATTAAATCTATTTTTCATTGTGCATGTGATTCTGTTTACATAGGATAATGAATATTTCTTATTTTCAGTTGTGATTGCATGCTTTATTATATATTTTTTTTTTCTACCATGAAAGATGAAATCACATTATAGTGATCATTGTTATTCCAATAGCTTCCTGGTCTATTCCCATTAGGTAGCAGTGCATATATTATTTAAAGATGTGAATTGTACATGCAAGTTTAGATAGTTGGATTGATAGAAATCCGTTGATCCAAAGTTCTGTGGATAGTTATATATATAATTAATGAATATTTGACTATTTTTTTTTATTATTATGTATATAATTTAGGAAAATAATTAATCTATCATATTTGAATTTTATGCTCTACTCACACTAAAATTATACTTTCTTATATAATTAGAAACTCAAGATAAAAAAAAAGTTTAAATTATTATTATTATTTTATCTTTAAGAAATATCATTTTGTAATATGACTATATAAAATATATATTAGTTCAACTTAATTTAAAAAATCAAATCTTATACATGAAAAGGTGTAAAAAGAAATGCAACTTTGGAAGTTAAGAATGTTACATAAGATTGCATCTGTGAAGACTTTTAGACCCTTGATAGAATTTGATGGATTTTGTTTTTTAAGAAATGTAGGGAGTTTTTTTTTGTGGGTGGGGCCAGTTGTTATCAACTATTTGGAAGGATGGGAAATATGATGATCCCAATTGCTTTTGCAATAGTGGAAGTTGAAACCAAGTACTCGTGGCATCACTAACTTTTCTTTATTATGTTGTATACAAATAGAAAGAAACATGCAGGCGTGCCACTACTAGATGTATTTGGGCAAGTTGTAAAGAGGAAGAAACCAGCTGAGAGTGTGATAGTAACATCAGTTCTAACACAGGAAACTGGAACTATAGCATTGTCTTGAGGGAGCAAAAGAAATACAAAAGAAGTTTGTGGTACCCAAGAATCACGTAGCAATAAGGGATGTTAGGAGTGCCTAGTCATGTTAGAAGTGATCTAGTGTATTTTTGTAGCGCACAGTTTCTGCTTTGATTTAGGATGATGTACCTCTGTCAAACAAATGTAACCCGTATACTTCCAAAACACCGAACACAACATCGTATCAGTGGACCATAATAACTTTAACAAATTATTTTTCTTATATTCACTCGTATATTATTCCAACTGATGTTCTCTCACACACCCACGGAAGCACAAAAGAAAGAGGAAGAGCTTTCTAACCAATTATATTTTCATCTCAAAATTTATACTTCTGATGCACAATTTGGAACCGTGAAATGCCATGTATTCATAATAAAATATTTAAATTGAATGAATAAGCACACTTAGTAACTAAGAAAAGTATTGAACTGAGCCAATCATATATCTTGGTGCTGTTATATATTTCAACTGTGATCAAATTGCAGGTGGGCTCTTCAATTGGATGCAGCGTGACATTGGAACAGGGTAGGCTCATACAACAATGTATCATTTGGTGGATTCGCAAAGCTTCATTCAAAACGGTCCAATAGAAATTTCCCTTACTAGTTAAGCATTCTTCCATAGGTGAGATTGGTGAGAAGCTTCATTTAATTTTATAATTCACCAACAAAATTAAAAAGGTAATAATAAACGTGGTAGTGGTGGAAGTGTAATGAAATTACAATTCCCAATTGCTAAATGACCAGAGTACAGTGGTTTCAAGCAACAAGGTTACTTTGCACATTTATTGAATCACTTGTGACTACCATTTTTTGATTGTTGTACATGTAAAATTACTTTATCTGTATCCGATGGTCTTCAGGCTTATATGTGAGAGTAAAAGAATTTCACATCACCATGTACAGATGGAAACAACTGTGTATGTTTCAATAATGCCATGTCCTTCACTTCGTGAAGACTAGGAAAAGTAAACCCAAAGAACTACAAAGGAGATAAGCAATCTACAGCAAACTCAACAATTTACAATGGCAGAAGAGCGTTTACTCACAGAATTTTATGAAAAAGATATATTGGTGATGGATCAAAATTCAAAACATGTTTCTCACAGGGTCATGCATGACTAATGCTATAAGATCAAACCATCCTTCACAATTTGCTCCAACCAAGATGCAATATCTGACATAGGTGGACGCTCACTTGGATTCTCTCTCACAGCAAGCTCTGCTATATCCGCAAGCTTAAGCAAAGGTTCAACATTTCTCGGAAGAGACACGTACCT